AAATGCAAATTGAAAAATCAAAAAACTAAAAATTGAATATCTGAAAAATCGCAAAATTGAAAAATGTAAGGCCGAAAACTCAAAAAATAGCAAATGAAAAATTGGTAAAATCTAGAATTGCAAATTGAAAGATCGAAAGACTGAAGTAATTAAAAATGAAAATATCTAACAGATAAAAATTGAAAAATTATAAAATTGAAAAGATGATTTAAAACTGAGAAACTGAAAATTAGAAAAATTGCAGATCAAAAAATTATAGCAACTAAAATCGAAAAATAGCGAAATTTAAGATTGAAAACTCAAAAAATATGGGAAAATAGTAAAATCTCAAAATGTAAATCGAAACATTTAACAATCAAAAATTAAAAATTAAAAATCAAAAGACTTAAGTTGAAAAATCGCAAAATTGAAAATTGTAAGGTCGAAAATTCAAAAAATAGCTGATGAAAAATTGGTAAAATCTAAAATTGCAAGTCGAAAGATGGAAAAAACATAAATTAAAAATTGAGAAACTGAGAAAACGAAAAACTGAAAAATTTCAAAATAAAAATATCAAAAAGATGAAAAACTGAAAAATTATAAAACTGAAAAGTTTAATGAAAATCGCGAAACTAAAAAATTGAAAAATTAAAATCAAAAAATTAAAAAAACGAAAAACCGAAAAATTGAAAAATTTAAGATTGGAAATTAAAAAATAGCACATAGGAAAATAGTGAAATCTAAAATTGCAAATCGAAAAATTGAAAAATCAAATACTCAGAATTGAGGTACTGAAAAATCGAAAGACTGAAACAATTACAAATGAAAATATCTAACAGATAAAAAATTGAAAAGATGAATTAAAAGAAAGAAACTGAAAAATCGCAAAATTGCAAATCAAAAAATGATAGAAACGAAAATTCGAAGATTTCCAAAATTTAAGATTCAAAGCTCAAAAAATAGTATATGGAAGAATAATAAAATCTCAAAATGCAAGTCGAAAAATTGGAAAATCAAAAAATTAAAAATCGATAAACTGAAAAATCGAGAACTAAAAAAATCAGTCATGAAAACTCGCAAGATTGAAAAATTTAGGACCGAAAATTGAAAAAATAGCAGATGGAAAATTCGTAAAATCCAAAATTCCAAATCAAAAAATTGAAAAAACCAATAATTATAATTGCGAAATTGAAAATTTGAAAAACTAAAAAAAATAAATATGAAAATACTTAATAATTGAAATATCGCAAAATTGAAAAATTTAAGAATGAAAATTCAAAAAGTCAGATGAAAAATTGGTAAAATTTAAAATTACAACCGAAAAATTGTAAAATCAAAAAATTAAGAACTCAGATACTGAAAATCGAAAGTCTCAAATAATTAAAAATGAAAATATTTAACAGATGAAAAATTGTAAAACTGAAAAGATGAATTAAAACGAGAAACTGGAAAATCGAAAAATTGAAAAATTAAAGATTGAAAACTCAAAAAACAGCATATGGGAAAAAATTAAAAATGAGAATATCTAACAGATGAAAAATTGAAAAATTATAAAATTGAAAATTTAATTTAAAAAAAATTGAGTTGGCCTCTTTCAAAATGTTCGTTTTGAAATTCACAATTTTTTAGAAATCTTCAATTTTAAGTTTTTTGATTTTTTGGAATGTTTTTTTTTTAACTTTTGATTAACTGAATTTTTGATTTTTCGATGTTCGAATTTTCAATTAATTTCGTTTTCGACTTCTGGATATTTCTTTTTGTTTTAATTGAAAAATGGAAAAACTAAAAAACCCAAAAATTTAAGAACAGGAAAATTGAAAAATTGAAAAATTAAAAATTTAAAACATCTTGAAATTGAAAAACTAAAAAAATATGATTTTCAATCCAAACATTTCGGAAATATTGCTCTATGACCATAAGCGCGCTGTATTTTAAGAAAAATTGAAAACTGAAAATTTAAATATTAAGAAACTGAAAAATTAAAATATCTAAAAATTGAAGAAGCGAAAAACTGAAAAAATCCCAAAAATGAAAGTTTGATAAGTGTACAAATTGTAAAACAGAAAAATTAAGGAGGTATGAAAAAAACATAAATTGAAAAATTTAAAATTTGGAAAATTAAAAATCGAGCAACTGAAAAATCGGAAAATTGAAAATACGAAAAAATGAAATATTGAAAATTTAAAAAATTGAAAAATGTCAAAACTCAAAGAGTGGCGAAAAAATTTCAAATAGAAAAATTTTTATTCAATTAATATATTTAAAAATTCAAAAAGACTAAAATTGAAAAATTTCAGATTGAAATCTCAAAAAATAGCAGACGGTAAATTGGTAAAATCTAAAAACAAACCGAAAAATTGAGGAATCAAAAAATTTAGAATTGAGATACTGAAAAATCGAACGATTGAAATCAAATATCAAAAAATGAAAATATCGAAAAGACGGAAAATTGAAAAGATGAATTAAAATCGAGAAACTGCAAATCAAAAAATTATAGATACGAAAAATCGGAAAATTGCGAAATTTAAAATTGAAAACTCAAAAATTAGCATATGGGAAAATAGTAAAATCTCAAAATGCAAATTGAAAAATCAAAAATTTAAAAAATGAATATCTGAAAAATCGAAAACTAAAAAAAATAAAATATTAAAATATTTAACACTTGGAAACTAGCAAATGAAAAATTGGTAAAATCTAGAATTGCAAGTTGAAAAATCGAAAAAACAAAAAATTAAAAATTGAGAAACTGAAAAATTTAAAAATAAAAGCATCAAAAAGACAACAAATTTAAGACCGAAAACTGAAAAAATAGCAGATGGAAAATTCGTAAGATCTAAAATTCCAAATCAAAACATTGAAAAAACAAATAATTATAATTGAGAAATTGAAAAATCGAAAAACAAAAAAAAATAAATATGAAAATACTTAATAATTGAAATATCGCAAAATTGAAAAATTTAAGAATGAAAACTCAAAAAATCAGATAAAAAATTGGTAAAATCTAAAATTATAACGGAAAAATTGTAAAATCAAAAAATTAAGAACTCAGATACTGAAAAACCGAAACTCTCAAATAATTAAAAATGAAAACATTTAACAGAAATTATAAAACTGGAAAGATGAATTAAAACGAGAAACTGAAAAATCGAAAAAGAAACGAAAAGTCGAAAAATTGAAAAATTAAAGATTGGAAACTCAAAAAACAGCATATGGGAAAAAATTAAAAGTGAGAATATCTAACAGATGACATTTCCATCAAGCCTAAAATAACTTCTGGAGGTGTAAATCAAGAAAAAATCTCGCCAACTCTTCAGTTTTTTTTATTTAAGTACCTTTGTAATCAATTATTCTTTTATTCCAAATTTACCTGCAATCACTAGTTCCTCATTTATTTTCAAACTCTCTAAGTTTAAACTACTTATTAATTTTTTTCTTTTTTAACAATAAATTTCGTCTCCTTGCTGCTCCAACAAATATTGATAGTACTTTCCTAAACACTCGTTTGTTTTTCAGTGGATAGTAAATTTTCGATCTTGATATTTTTTTCATTAATCGTTTCTTCAGGATTGATAATTTGAAATGGAGCTTTATCTTTAAAATGTTGAGCTTTAAAATATTTAGGTACAGCGTTCTCTTTTAACTTTAAGTAAAAATATAATTTTAAAAATATCTAAGAAAAGGCTTTACAGAAGTAAGTACTTCACAAATTTTGAAGGTAGAACCAATTTTCCAACTTGGCCGGCTCAAACTTTCCTTTCAAAGCCTAATTATATATTCATCGTTTGCGTTCGTGATAAATTTGACAAAACATCGACGAGTTCGTCCTCAAATTGATTTTAAGTCTGAGAAATTTTGAGCACTCCCCACATTTCGGTAAACTGCTGAAATAAAGCGAAGTTTAGCACCCTCAAAGCGGAGATTTACACCCCGTTATAAATAACAATAAAATATATGGCCGAGATTCGTCTTTAGATATTCAAAAGGAGCATAAATTTTTATGCTTACCTACTCGACATAAATTTTTGTAGTCGCAGCAATAAAATATGTCTTAAGAAATGTGAAAATAGTGTTACAACTTCCTTAGAAGCGTTGATATGACTGTACTTTATGAGAAGTGGCAAATTACGTACTATTCTTAGACTTGACAGTGTTGTAGAATGTTGCTAAAATAATAATTTCCCGTAAATTGTCATTCCCGTTAAATAACTCGTTCCAAGTTGTTGATTCGGGCGCTTAAAATGTAAAGCTCCCAACAAAACTAAACCCGGTGCAAATATTTTCCACTTTTTAGTAATAATCTGGTAAGCGGTAAAGTCGGTTTTGATGATGTTTTAAATGCTCTTTGCAAATACGACCGATTTAGAGACTTAATGTTTACGAAAGGTAAATGGAGGAAATTGTGAATACTTACAAGGAACACATTTATAAATTCACAAGCGCTATCCGACTAAATTAAACAAAAACCGTACGTACGTTTGCAAACATCAGCCAATTTTTAATTAAATTCGCTTCCATCAAGAAGCGCAAACAGCGTAAGCTCTCCCTAAACAATTTCCCCGATGTAAGATAACATTAATTTCGAAAAATCAATTCGTTTGAAAGCTGTTTTAAAAACCTGACCGCCCTCATCCCACCGACTGCGCCATTTGACATGAACGAAAATAATGAAAAGTAAATATCGTCCAAGACGCGACCTCAGGAAAGTGTATTTTGAAAATCCCCTGAATTATTGTAGCGATCGCCACAAACCCCCGGATAACAATATCCCGCTCCAGATTGATCCTTAATTTATTAGCCCAGGAGCGTCTCTGGTCTATTTTTGCCATTCCCGCTCGCATTACCCCGGCCACCCTCTCCATGAAAATTTATGTTATTTCCATTAAGCAAATTGTGCCTCCCATCTCGTACCTTTGATCTAGCATCTGCAAAAGCCGAACCGCAAAATCAAGTCCGACCACGAGCCCAAGAACCGAACTCCTGGAAGTGTGCATTCCATTCCATCGCGCTATTTCTTGTTTCAGACCAAGAGTATTGGTACGAGCAAGCACGGATCGCTTTGCGGAAGAGGCTGCAATATGCTACGGACCGCCGGCCGCACGCCAAGAATGTGGTGTTGTTTGTGGGAGACGGGATGGGGGTGGCGACGGCCACCGCCGCCAGGATACTACGCGGACAGCGCCTGGGGAAGCGGGGGGAGGACCACGAGCTGGCATGGGACTCGTTTCCTGCGGTGGCCCTGGCAAAGGTAAGCCGTTTCCGGATTGCGCAACAGAAATAAAAATTGGTCGAAGGTTTTTCGACGAAACTTCCGTCGAGCCTGAAGTGCAGCCCAATAAATCGCCTTTCTTTGAAAAATCGTAAACATTATTTGCGATTTTTGCTTTCTGATAATAGTGATAATCTTGATGAAGTAAAAATCACTTGCGTAAATAACACGCTAGCAGTTTTTTTGACTTTTGAATTTTTATATTCTTCAACCTTTTTTTCCTTTCTTTTTCTTTACAAATTTTTCAGGTTTTCAAGTTCCTAAATTTAGTATTTTTCAATTATGTATTAGATTTTGCAATATAATTTTTGAATTTTTCTCTCGGATTTTTGTTTCCAATGTTTCGATTTTAAAATTTTTTGATTTTTCAATTTCCCGATTTGTGATTTTTCAATTCTTCAGTTTTTTTGTTTCTTAAAATTTCAGATTTGCAATTTATCAATTTTTCATTATTTTTCAGTTTATTTTCCAGTTTTCAATTTTTCAATTTGCAATTTCACGAGTTTTCGATTTTTAATTTTACGATTTTTAGGTTTTTATTTTTTCATTTCTTGAATATTTCGATTTACAATTTGGTTTGGGTTTTTCCTTTTCTTTATTTTTTCAATTATTCGTTTTTTTTTAATGTCTGTTTTCATACAAATTTCTTTTTTCAATGTGAAATTTTTCAAGTTTTGGATTTTTCAATTTTTCATTTTGCAGTTTTCCAGTTTTCAATTCTTCGATTTTTCAGCTTCTAGATACTTTAATTTTATTTTTCGTGTTTTCAATTTTGCTTTTCCAGTTTCTTGTTTTTTAAATTTATTGTTTCTTCAATTTTTCAGTTTGGGATTTTTCAATGTTTCATTATTTTTCTTTCTTCAATTTCCGATATGGAACTCTTCGAGTTTTCAATTTTTCGATTTGAGGTTTCACAAATTTTAAATTCAAAATTTTTCTATTTTTAGGTTTTTCAATTTTTCATTACTTCAATATTTCGATTTAATTTATGTTTCGGTTTTTTATTTTGTTTATTTTTTTAATTTTTCGCTTTTCAATGTCTGATTTCATATAAATTTCTTTTTTCATGTGAAATTTTCAATTTTTCGATTAGCAGTTTTTCGGTTTTCAATTTCCCAATTTCTTATTTTTTAATTTTTTAATTCTATATTTCACTCTTCATATTCTCGATTTGTATTTTTCGATTTTATAATTATTTTCTTTTTCCAATTTCAATTTTTAGATTTCCAATTTTTCAATCTTTCATTCTTATGGTTTCTTCAATTTTACGATGTGCAAATCTTTTCCACATTTCATTTTTAATTTTTTAATTTTTTGATTTTCTAACTTTTGGATGTTTCAGTTTATCGATTTGCAATTTCACAAGTTTTCGATTTTTAATTTTTCGATTATTAGGTTTTTATTTTTTCATTTCTTGAATATTTCGATTTACAATTTTGGTTTGGGTTTTTCCTTTTCTTTATTTTTTCAATTTTTCGGTTTTTTTAATGTCTGATTTCATACAAATTTCTTTTTTCAATGTGAAATTTTTCAAGTTTTGGATTTTTCATCTTTTCATTTTGCAGTTTTTCAGTTTTCAATTCTTCGATTTTTCAACTTCCAGATACTTGAATTTTATTTTTCGTGTTTTCAATTTTGCTTTTCCAGTTTCTTGTTTTTAAATTTATTGTTTCTTCAATTTTTCAGTTTGGGATTTTTCAATGTTTCATTATTTTTCTTTCTTCAATTTCCGATATGGAACTCTTCGAGTTTTCAATTTTTCGATTTGAGGTTTCACAAATTTTAAATTCAAAGTTTTTCTATTTTTAGGTTTTTCAATTTTTCATTACTTCAATATTTCGATTTAATTTATGTTTCGGTTTTTTATTTTCTTTATTTTCTCAATTTTTCACTTTTTAATGTCTGATTTCATATAAATTTCTTTTTTCATGTGAAATTTTCAATTTTTCGATTAGCAGTTTTTCGGTTTTCAATTTCCCAATTTCTCTTTTTTTAATTTTTTAATTCTATAATATTTCGTTCTTCATATTCTCGATTTGTATTTTTCGATTTTATAATTATTTTGTTTTTCCAATTTCAATTTTTAAAATTTTTCATTTCTTCAATTTTTAGATTTCCAATTTTTCAATCTTTCATTCTTATGGTTTCTTCAATTTTACGATGTGCAAATCTTTTCGACATTTCATTTTTAATTTTTTAATTTTTTGATTTTCTAACTTTTGGATGTTTCAGTTTATCGATTTGCAATTTCACAAGTTTTGGATTTTTAATTTTTCGATTTTTAGGTTTTTATTTTTTCATTTCTTGAATATTTCGATTTACAATTTTGGTTTGGGTTTTTCCTTTTCTTTGTTTTTTCAATTTTTCGTTTTTTTTAATGTCTGATTTCATATAAATTTCATTTTCAACGTGAAATTTTTCAAATTTTGGATTTTTCAACTTTTCATTTTGCAGTTTTTCAGTTTTCAATTCTTCGATTTTTCAACTTCCAGATACTTTAATGTTATTTTTCGTGTATTCAATTTTGCTTTTCCAGTTTCTTGTTTTTTAAATTTATTGTTTCTTCTATTTATCAGTTTGGGATTTTTCAATGTTTCATTATTTTTCTTTCTTCAATTTCCGATACGGAACTCTTCGAGTTTTCAATTTTTCGACTTGAGGTTTCACAAATTTTAAATTCAAAATTTTTCTATTTTTAGGTTTTTCAATTTTTCATTACTTCAATATTTCGATTTAATTTATGTTTCGGTTTTTTATTTTCTTTATTTTCTCAATTTTTCGCTTTTTAATGTCTGATTTCATATAAATTTCTTTTTTCATGTGAAATTTTCAATTTTGCGATTAGCAGTTTTTCGGTTTTCAATTTCCCAATTTCTCATTTTTTAATTTTTTAATTCTATAATATTTCGTTCTTCATATTCTCGATTTGTATTTTTCGATTTTATAATTTTGTTTTTCCAATTTCAATTTTTAAAATTTTTCATTTCTTCAATTTTTAGATTTCCAATTTTTCAATCTTTCATTCTTATGGTTTCTTCAATTTTACGATGTGCAAATCTTTTCGACATTTCATTTTTAATTTTTTAATTTTTTGATTTTCTAACTTTTGGATGTTTCAGTTTATCGATTTGCAGTTTCACAAGTTTTAGATTTTTAATTTTTCGATTTTTAGGTTTTTATTTTTTCATTTCTTGAATATTTCAATTTACAATTTTGGTTTGGGTTTTCCCTTTTCTTTATTTTTTCAATTTTTCGGTTTTTTTAATGTCTGATTTCATACAAATTTCTTTTTTCAATGTGAAATTTTTCAAGTTTTGGATTTTTCATCTTTTCATTTTGCAGTTTTTCAGTTTTCAATTCTTCGATTTTTCAACTTCCAGATACTTGAATTTTATTTTTCGTGTTTTCAATTTTGCTTTTCCAGTTTCTTGTTTTTAAATTTATTGTTTCTTCAATTTTTCAGTTTGGGATTTTTCAATGTTTCATTATTTTTCTTTCTTCAATTTCCGATATGGAACTCTTCGAGTTTTCAATTTTTCGATTTGAGGTTTCACAAATTTTAAATTCAAAGTTTTTCAATTTTTAGGTTTTTCAATTTTTCATTACTTCAATATTTCGATTTAATTTATGTTTCGGTTTTTTATTTTCTTTATTTTCTCAATTTTTCACTTTTTAATGTCTGATTTCATATAAATTTCTTTTTTCATGTGAAATTTTCAATTTTTCGATTAGCAGTTTTTCGGTTTTCAATTTCCCAATTTCTCTTTTTTTAATTTTTTAATTCTATAATATTTCGTTCTTCATATTCTCGATTTGTATTTTTCGATTTTATAATTATTTTGTTTTTCCAATTTCAATTTTTAAAATTTTTCATTTCTTCAATTTTTAGATTTCCAATTTTTCAATCTTTCATTCTTATGGTTTCTTCAATTTTACGATGTGCAAATCTTTTCGACATTTCATTTTTAATTTTTTAATTTTTTGATTTTCTAACTTTTGAATGTTTCAGTTTATCGATTTGCAATTTCACAAGTTTTGGATTTTTAATTTTTCGATTTTTAGGTTTTTATTTTTTCATTTCTTGAATATTTCGATTTACAATTTTGGTTTGGGTTTTTCCTTTTCTTTGTTTTTTCAATTTTTCGTTTTTTTTAATGTCTGATTTCATATAAATTTCATTTTCAACGTGAAATTTTTCAAATTTTGGATTTTTCAACTTTTTATTTTGCAGTTTTTCAGTTTTCAATTCTTCGATTTTTCAACTTCCAGATACTTTAATGTTATTTTTCGTGTATTCAATTTTGCCTTTCCAGTTTTTTGTTTTTTAAATTTATTGTTTCTTCAATTTATCAGTTTGGGATTTTTCAATGTTTCATTATTTTTCTTTCTTCAATTTCCGATATGGAACTCTTCGAGTTTTCAATTTTTCGACTTGAGGTTTCACAAATTTTAAATTCAAAATTTTTCTATTTTTAGGTTTTTCAATTTTTCATTACTTCAATATTTCGATTTAATTTATGTTTCGGTTTTTTATTTTCTTTATTTTCTCAATTTTTCGCTTTTTAATGTCTGATTTCATATAAATTTCTTTTTTCATGTGAAATTTTCAATTTTGCGATTAGCAGTTTTTCGGTTTTCAATTTCCCAATTTCTCATTTTTTAATTTTTTAATTCTATAATATTTCGTTCTTCATATTCTCGATTTGTATTTTTCGATTTTATAATTTTGTTTTTCCAATTTCAATTTTTAAAATTTTTCATTTCTTCAATTTTTAGATTTCCAATTTTTCAATCTTTCATTCTTATGGTTTCTTCAATTTTACGATGTGCAAATCTTTTCGACATTTCATTTTTAATTTTTTAATTTTTTGATTTTCTAACTTTTGGATGTTTCAGTTTATCGATTTGCAGTTTCACAAGTTTTAGATTTTTAATTTTTCGATTTTTAGGTTTTTATTTTTTCATTTCTTGAATATTTC